GTGAATGAGATTTCGGGGTATTGGGTTTCGTGTTTAATTGTATTGTCTTGAAAATGTCTGTTTGATATCTGGGCAAAAACTAATAAAAAGATTTATAAAAAAAAAAAAGATGTCAGTAAGGGAAAACATCCTCAAGTCAGTCTGCAGGACTCTTTCGTCCCTCTTTTTTTCCGGTCTTTACATGATTTTAGTGCTCACTACCGTACTTGATTTCAAAGACACAGAGTTAGGCCCCGTCCACATGGAGACGACACGAAAACGAACCGAAGTCGATATCAAAAAAAGTCTCCCGTCTACACGGAAAATGCCTCAAGAAACGTGTCCGTCCACACGAGACCGCTCAACCCGCTGTAGACGCTGTAGTACATATGACGGGCCTGTAAGTGGCGCTGTACTTCCGCCACAAAATACACCAAAAGCAGCGAAGAAGACGATGACGATTATTATTATTATTATTATATTATATTATTATTATTGTTGCTGATGGTTGTGGTAGAGGAGCTGTAAATGTTGCACTAAAATCTGTATCATGGTCAGTAGCGTCTGGAGCACGAACGCAACCCTGAGATCCGCCATTGTTGTTGTTGTTGTTGTTGGCGAAACGCATCAGCAATGACGCGGGGAGAGGCTGGGCTATGGCGTCATCGTTTTCAGGGAATGATCATATATATAGGGCGTACACACGGAGCCGCAAGCGTTTCGTCCTCAGACCTACCCACTTTGGGAGCCGTTATCAAAGGGACTCCAAATCCGTGTTTCCGTGTCGGCCTCATGTGGACGAACCGTCTATACGATAGAGAACGTTAGCGGATTCAACTCATATTGTCTCCATGTGGACGGGGCCTTAGTCTATATATAGTACATAGAGCTGTGTTTAATTTGAATCTGTTTGCATTTCCTCTAGGGAACGGATGGGTGAGGGGCGTATGATTGAGAGTGCCAGGGACCCTCACTGCCCTAAAGTAAGTCACATGTTTTTTCAGCTCTTCACCATATGGACTCAATTTGTACTTTACTGTTTTAGTATTGATTTGGCAGCTTTAGTTACTTAACATATTTGGATTATTAGCTATTACAAAATATAGCATGATTACAAATTAAACATTGATATATTATTAGAGGTTGGGATATCCAGCAGCAGTTACATTTTTTTATTTAATATTCTATTTAAGTATAGATACTGTTTGCACAACTTTTTACTTGTAGCAGATCATTTTTAACATCTGATATTGCTACTTTTACTTGAGTAAAATATCAGAGTACTGATATTTAAAAAAGGGAATTAAACACTGATTTACCTATTATTTAGTTGTCAATTGAACAGCACAGACCTTAGTGAAACACCAGCTCTTACAAATATGAATTAAGTCACCAAGAAGTCACACACACATTACTTGGTGTTCCCTTCTCAATGTGCCCTTGTTTGTCCACCAGGTGTCAGCAGTGAGCACCATTGTGAACAGGGGTTTACCTCTGAAGGCCTTCACGTTCAGGAACTACAGACTCATGCCAGGAGTGAGATCCCACTACCTTGGAGACTGCAACCACAAAATGTGGCAGGCTATCAGGGCCTCGTCTGCCGCGCCGGGATACTTCCAGGAATTCGTCCTGGGAAAAGACCTCCATCAGGTATGACACCCAACAGAGAGATACTGTTGGTAACACAGGCTGCGGGATAGAAGAAAGGGTAGCACGAAAAAAAACACAGCATCACTAAGTTTAAGGTTCTGTCCTTGGAGAGATGAATACACATCTATCGTAGTCACATTTCTCTGAGAGCCCTAGTCCAGCGTGAGAGTAATTTCCTTGAAATGTTTCCAATCAATACACTTCCGTTAAGGTGCCAAGGACAAAAGCAATGAGCATTGCACTCTCTGTGAATGTACACATCAAGGGGTATGTGTAAATTAGTTTCACTCTTGATACCCATAACCTTGAAGGCAGTCATTTCCCTGCTTTTAAGAGTCTGAGAGGAAGTGGAGAGATGGAGATGGAGATTGAGGTAAAGAGAGAGTCCTTGGACCCTGCATGTTCCCCCTAAACATCAAAGTCCTCGTCCTCTTAGCCTGCTTCTTCGCAGGGAAATGGAGAGCTCTGATTCCCCATGAAAGAAAGTAAATATCAGAGCTGCTGTCTGTCATTCCCACACAGTGAAAAAGCGTGTGCATTAGGTGATGGATGCTAACTCTTGATCCTTTTTAAGGTTCAAGTGCGGTAGATTAGCTTTAAGTAGGAGGTAATTGAATATAAACCCAGCTGTTGATGCATCTGATAAATAACTTTTCTGCTACTGTGATCTTCTCTTGGGCCCATATCACAGAGCGCCTTTTATTTCATAACGTTTGATTATTAGGCCAGATATCTTTAGATGGTCTGCGTGGGCAGCAATTATGCTCAAGGCTTTAGCTTCATTTAACAACCTACTTAGGCAGATTTAGCCTTGTCCCGGCTCCAACAAGCACTTCTCTCCCCTGCCGTTTCCTAATGCCAGGGTCCTGGTAGACGGCGCTTTGTAATGTTTTAGTCAATAAGAGATCCTAATCTCTAACCCCACTCTGCTTGTTTACAGACCCAAGCCTTGATAGTTCTAAGCATGTAGAATTAAAACAAATGGCCTCCTAGTAATTGGCCCGAGCCCAGGCCTTTAACCTTGAAAACTCATCTGATGTTTGCTAGCATTCCTACTAATGTATTACCAAGACAGAAATTTGATTATATTTGTTATTGGCATGCTATATAACCTGATCCTTCCTGAGATTGATCGATCTCTGGTTATTTTATTATTTTTATTTTATTCTATAGGAGCAAGGAAACAGCATAAGATAGTTGCTAGTTTTAAAATGAGCTGTTAGCAAGAATTCTATGATATGACTATCTCTATTGTTTACATGTTTATTTAGGTATAGATATGGTTTTGTTATGGCTTTTATTGTTTATGCAAATTGTGTTATATTTTCATTTGCATATATATAATGCTGTTTTTTTGCATTTCTATTCACATTCACAATCTGCTTTTAGCTGTTTCCCACGGCCTGGGATGGAAAAGTGTGTGTGTGTGTGTGTGTGTGTGTGTGTGTGTGTGTGTGTGTGTGTGTGTGTGTGTGTGTGTGTGTGTGTGTGTGTGTGTGTGTGTGTGTGTGTGTGTGTGTCCTGTTGGAGCTGCATAGTGTTTCGCCGACAGTTTGAGCTTCCGTTGCCACCCACTGGTCTCACTCCTACTCTAGTTTTCACCACTAGCAGCGGTATTTCTCAGGAGACTTCAGCCAGTGCAGGCAGGGTATCAGAAATACATTTACACACACAAACACAGTGGGGAGAAGACACCTTCACACACTCAATGTAGAGGTCAAATATCCTTATATCTCCCTGAGCTGCAGTCCTTTATCGTAGCAAAAGAGTATCATTAGGCCAGTCATTTGGGATGCAGCGTTTAGTTTGCGTGTTGGTTGGATTTCATTCAGAGGTTGAGGGTCAGAGCTGAGGAGCAGCTGTGTAATTAACCTCTGTTTCAGTAGCTTACACCTGAGGGTACACAGCTGTATAATTAGTTCAATAATAACATGTTTCAGACAATAACACCAGGGCAGCACTGTGGACCAAAGACAGACATATGAATTTGAAATAAGTTTCCTGGAACTAATATTTAACCTTTTTTATGTAATTTTTTTAATTTTCAGGGTGAATAAAAAAAGTTTAATTCACAGAAAAGCAATTATTTAAATAACTTACTGGTGGAGTTCTCTTGTGATTATTCTGGTATTTACACACATATTTATTCGGTCCGTCTGTGGGTTTTTAGATTACCGTAATTTTCGGAATATAAGCCGCAGCAGCGGCATACCACTCTCGGTTCCACTTTTACTTTTGCGCGCTACCTGTCTCACTCTTTTCCGGCCTCCAGCTTTTCCTGCTGGAACCCGCCGCTTAAAGGTGGGGGTCCGCGGACCGGCCATAGAGCCCATAGAGTTAAAGGTGTTGGCCGTTAGCTGTAAAAATCCATAGATTAGCCGCACCGTTATATAAGCCGCAGCGTCGAAAAATAGGGGAAAAGGCGCGGTTTATAGTCCGAAAATTACGGTAGGTTGGATAAAATCGACTTTATTAATTGTTGTGTCCTTGGGCAAGACACTTCACCTGAATTTGCTCCTGTGGGCATTGTCCACAGTACATGACCGTTACATGTGTGTAATGTGTATTTGTAAAGCGCTTTGAGCATCTGGAAAACCGCTATAATAAATGTAAGGAATTATTATTGTAGGCGTGTGGTGCAGTGGGTTGTGCGTTGCTGTTGGGATCAGGGGGTCACAGGTTCAAACCCCACTGCAGTCAGCATGTCGTTGTGTCCCTGGGAAAGACACTTCACCCCAAATCGAGCGCCTAAAGAAGACACAATATTAAATAAATTAGAACAGATACTACCAACGCCAGAGCAGTATTTGTGTTTTCTTACAGAAGAAGAATGGGATTCAAGCTTTTGGGATATTTCTCTATTGCAATCCCCATGTAGAGGCGTTAAAGACCTTTACCCCCGCTCCACTGGGGAGGGTCTCAGCTCTTGTGCGCCACACTCTCAATCTCTATTAATCCGATCCAAAAGCCCTTCGGTGTCTGGATGTGGTCCAGAGCTGGACTCGGGGAAAGACTGAGAAAGAGTGTTTAGCACTAAATGGGTTCAGGCATCCATTTAGCTCCATTGTCCTCCTTCTGGCATTGTTGGCACCACTTAGATCAGCTCCAATCCTGTTACATTATTTCGAGCAAATGGCAAGTCATTTGTGATTAGGTAAATGAAATCAGTCAGGATTAGAATACTCAAATGCAACATGCTGTATCAACAATTCAGAGTAATGCAGCAACTCGATCTTCTTATTCAATTTAGTTTTAGATCAAATTATTCAAAGAAAGGGTTTCTTTTAGCCTCGGAAAGCTGCTCTAAAAGACAGACATTCCTATTTGTTTATTTGTGAATAAACAGGGCTGTTTGCACACACGGCACATCTCAGGCCAGGGAGCTTTGTAGCTCTGGGACAGCGTGTCCACTTCACCTCATGTGTCCCCTGCAGGCTGTCACAACACATATATTAAAAACCTGAGGCTCCTTCTATGCATGCAAAGTGTCCTTTCGGTGTATTAACCTTGCCTAGTAAGCATATTTGACTGATGAAAAGCTGAAGGTGACTTTACAGATTTTGAACACCCATCAACAACATTGGCTGTTGGTTCGAAAAGCAAATTGTCTACAGTGGAAATAAGAAGTAAAACATTCCACAGTGATTGCTTTGGGGCCCTTCTTCTCCTTCATGGTGATTCTCCTTCCCCTTTTCATTACCTTTCGTATCCTTCCTCTCCTTTTAGGATGGAGGCCTCCTCATCAACAACCCCACAGCGTTGGCCATCCATGAGTGCAAGTGTCTGTGGCCTAACACCCCGCTGCAGTGTGTGTTGTCTCTGGGCACGGGACGGTACGAGACGGTGGAAAAAAACAGCACGACCTACACCAGCCTGAAGACCAAGCTCTCACACGTCATCAGCAGTGCCACGGATACTGAGGGTAAGGCCGATGTTTGACGTCACACACATTTATTTATAAACCACAGCTCAGAGGCGCGCAGTCACAGGCAGGGTGACGATTGCTTCTTGATATATAAACCAACTTTAAAGGTCGCCTATTATGCAAAATCCAATTTTTCATTTCCTCTCTGTGTAAAGACATTCTGAAAGTTTCAGGAAAAAAAGATTCTCTCACTTTTTGATCCATTTCTATAAAAACCTGTCTGAAAATGAGCTGATCAGATTTGGGCCACTTTATGATGTCATAACGATTTTTTGGCTTGTGTAACCATTAGCCAATCACCAACCAAGGTAACCCCCCCCCTTATCACCTGAATCTCCTCCTAGAGCACCATTAACAGACAGAGAATCAGCACTTTTGAAACAGGGTTGGAACAGAGGGGATTATGGGTAATGCTGCAATAATGCTGCAATGATCTGTTTGGTGTTTGGAGCCAAACACTTCAGAGACATGTTTTATATATCTGAGACCTGTAATATATTGATGAAAAACAGTATAATAGATGACCTTTTTAAAAGCAGTACTCTCCTGTCCTTATTCCAGAGGTGCACACCATGCTGGACGCCCTCCTCCCCCCTGGCACTTACTTCCGCTTCAACCCCTACATGAGCGAGGACATCCCGCTGAACGAGAGCCGCCCCGAGAAGCTCAACTTCCTGAAGGGCGAGGCCGAGAGCTACCTGGAGCGCAACGAGGCCAAGCTGAAGAAGGCTGCCA